CTTAACCAACTGAGCCACCCAGGCGCCCCTTATGACCTTTCTTAACCCTAATTAACTCCTTGAAGTTCTTATCTCCAAACACAGTCACAGTGTGAGGGCTTCAACATATAAATTTTAGTGGGGGATACAATTTGGTCCATAACACCAACCAACTATAGGTCCCAACTGTGTCAAATGAGAGGGCTTGTGCTCTACTTACTCATTCACTCCCTAACACTTTCAGCACCCAGTTTCAACAGTACCTGACAGTGTCATCTGTGCTCTGTGAGGGATATCTGCTCTTCTCTACCCATTACCTGGAAGTAATAAAATCTATACCAAATAAAACTACTAAATTAGCATTTCTTTCATTTCATATCCATTATCATAAGGCTAAGACTATTTTATTGTAAACTCATTTATATAACAATACTCTGGAACTTCCTTAGAATTCTATCTGCAACTTGTTCTGAATTTTAGTTACCCATTAATTGCAAACACAATGAGTAACAACCATTACTACTAATCACTATAATAAACAGATGACTCACTGAAACAAATGTACAAACTTTTTATTTAGAATTAGAGACTCAAATACAAATAAAATACAATACAAAATATTAAGCCTTCATAAAACAAACCATAACCACTTTAAATCATCTATTTCTGAAACAAAATTAAAGAGAAATCTAAAAATAGTCCAAAAATCAACTTACTTTTAAACTCTTATTCTTAACATTAAAATTATTACAAAATGTTCAAAGAAATTTAATTAGAAAATGAACAAAGCCACTACAAAGAGATTCCTGCTATCTACTAAAATCAATTTAGGAATTAAAATTTAGTATGATTTCTACTCATTCACACATAAAAAGCACCTCATTTTAAAAAGACAATTATCTGTTTCACTCTAAGGTGTGAATTTTTTGTTTACTTGACTTTTAATTTTAATATGGCACAATAGGTTTGATCAGTGTAAGCAATATCACTAAAAATATTTAGTTCCTTACAGACCCTTTCTGTTTTACTTTATGAATAAATGGATCATATATTTAAAAGTTAAAACATTACAATATAATATCATTAATAAGATACATGGCAAAATAAAAATATACATTAAAAATGAAGTCTCTTTTTCTTTTATAAATGGGAAACTGATCAGACTCATGCTATATATTCCTTTTACTCCGGAAAAAAAAAAAGGTTCTATATTTTATATTATTGTTATAAATCCAATTCTAAGAATCTGCACCAAAGAAAGTACCAAGGAGATAGTATAATATCTTAAGCTCATATTGTATCTGAAAATACTTACAAAGAGTGGAACTAGACTTGCATTAAGTAGATAACAGGAAAATACTATTACAGTGTTTACATATTTAAAATAACCCAAAACAAAAATAAAAGTCCACACTCAAGAATGGCACCCACAGGGCACCTGGGTGGCTCAGTTGTTAAGCGTCTACCTTCGGCTCAGGTCATGATCCCAGGGTCCTGGGATCAAGCCCCACATCAGGTTCTCTGCTCCGCGGGAAGCCTGCTTCTCCCTCTCCCACTCCCCCTGCTTGTGTCCCTCTCTCACTGTCTGTTTCTGTCAAATAAAATCTTAAAAAAAAAAAAAAGAATGGCACCCACATTATTCAAGAATAAAGTTATTTGCATATATGCAAACCAGTGTGTGGCTAAATATTTTCCTAAAACATGCATATTATGAGGCCTTTAATAATTAAGCTTATAGAACCAAACTATATTGTGTTTAGATCAACTGTCATGATTGGACATTTCTGCACATCAAGAGAGTTAAAACTCTGACATCTGTTGTTCTGTAAAACTGAAGAAGATATATAAACAAACTCAGGATTTCACTAGAAAATTTCAGTTATCTCAGCAACCTGTTATACTTCTTGTCATGAAATAAATGATTCCAAGATGCAATCATTCTTTTAAATTTTTAATTTCTATGAGTTCTCTTTAAAAACCATTTTAATGACATCACATTTCTTGAAGAAAATTTACTCAGAGTTCTGAATGACTTAGTCATTTTCTACAAGCAATTCTGCTGCAAGTGGTAGAGTTCTAGCTCTGTCAGAAGTCTTTTTTCCTCTTTCAAAGAAAATGAACAATATGCAAAGATTTTCCTACTGACTCACTAAATGTAAAATTAATAGTGTATAATAATAAATTTTGTAATACAGTAACTTTTAAGTTTTCACAGTTTATTACTACTAACTAGCTATAATATCAGGCAAGTCACTTAATTCTCTGTACCTTAGTTTCATCTTTAAAACAAAGAGATTAGAGTAGATAATTGCTAAGATTCCTTCCAATTTTCACATGGTAGGATTCTGTGCTTCTGGAGGAATATCTCATTGATATATTGAATTTTCTATATATCAAGAAAACTGATATGAACTAAAATAGCACAGCTAAACTAATCCTCTAAGAAAAAACACAAAGATCATGTTAAAGCTCAACTTCCTAAACCTTACTAGACCCATTCTCTCTTTAGCCAGACCAATGAATAGCCCATGACATAACACTTAATTACGTAAGTTATTTTAAATTACACTGTAAACCTATTAAAATATATTAAGTCTATGCCACAATTTTCCTGCATTCTAATTTACATTATTTTCATTCTATCTACATTCAAAATAATCTGTACAGTTTAAGGTAGGGAGCTACTTAATATTCTTGCACTTCAAAACACTAGTAAAGGTAAATCAAATGAAGAGCAGAATATTAACCATTATCATAACCTGCCAATTTTAAAATAAAAGTACACTAATACTATTTATGGGCTAGAAAAACAAAGGTAAAAAAGGAAATCTTGCTGACAAATGCTAATGTTCAAATGAATTTAGCTGTGTTGTGCCATTTCTTAGAAAAAGAGGGAGAAGATATCAGCAGAAACCTACTTAGGCAATACTGAACCATGACATTTTAGGAACTTTTATGAGAAATTAATGTACCATAAAGCAGCACTTTGGTATTAGTGCAGTGCAAGTTGGTTTTTCTCTAACTATGGGCAGCAAATGAGGCACTTAACTGTAAAATAGAAAAATAGGGTATATTTAAGAAGAAATTCAAAATCATTCATAAAAGATAATTAGCATTATTCAAAAAGTAAAAAATTCTATTTTTATTTAATGTGCATTCAACATTACACATGCTTCACTAGGGAAAATTTTGAATGTAAGACGGCTGTTTCATTTATAAGAGACAGAAAATATTTCCTTTTCAAGAGCCTCTGGATTTCTGAGAATGAAATCCAAGTATTCTCAACCTGAGGGCTACATATTTATAAACCGAGAAAAATACATCTTACCCATACTGGAGAAATGTTTCTAGCTATCAACAAAGTTATAACATGTGATCCCTGACTTTATTCTTGAAGGATTTTATATAACTTCGAAGAAAGGGATCTAGTGACTGTAACAGAAAAATGAACAGATATTTAGCACCTAAATTTAGAACACTTAAGTATTGCCACAGTTTTAAATAGTTGTATGTCCAAAGATCAGGGGAAATCAGATATATGTTGTTCAAGGATACTACAACATTCTCAAAGATTAATTTATCAAGCTTCCTTGATTTGCAAATGCATCCATCTATAACCTTCAACACAATATTATCATTTCTTCCTGAAGTTACAGATATGTATTCTTCTTAATAAGAAATAAGTGAGGTTTATTTTTTCTTAACCACCATTAAATTGTCTTCCAAATGTGGCACTTTTTCAGATAGTTGGACAGAAAATAGTCCTTTTAAAAAGTCATATTCTACCACTAATATTATTTTAAATGTTCTTCACTGTGAAACAGAGGTCAAAAAATGAAGTAAATGGCCATGGACCTTCTGCTGAAATACATAAGCAAATATAATGCAGGGTCAGAGAAGAAGAACATATGTTAATTTCTGGCAAGGAAGTTGGCACATAAATGCTTATCTATAGGGTAAAAAAGCACTGAATGAAAAGATAATGTCTGCTGTGACATTATTCCAAGCAAATGGAGCCTAGCATCTGCTTTCTTCACATCTAAGAGAAATATTCTAGTCATGCCTCTTTAAGTAAGCTTGATTTTAATTCCAGATGAACACTGCTTCATATGTTAAGACTGACACATGACATTAACTAAAGTTTTCCATGAGACAATTATATTCATTTCCTCTGAAAAATCCTATAATCTTACCCTTTCTCCCTATTTGCTTATAAGAAGGCTTTTCTTAACTCGTAAGGGGGTGGTAAAGGCTTAAAAATACATGTTCTTATTCCAAGGAGGCTGGAAAATTTCTATAGTTCACAGTCTTTCATATTTGTCATCTACACTCACTTTAACAAGTCACATTCCTTACTTCATAATTAATTTCCTGACATACAGAAAAGTCTAACTTCTCTTATTTATATCTTTAAGGTAAACTCCTCTATTTTCTTGAAAGATATTCGTTTATTTTTGAAAGGAAATGAGTACATTAAAAAACAACACTGTTGATGCAATTCAGTTGTTAGGAAATAAAGTGCATATAGCTTTCAATATAAATATTGTTTGATAGATTACAGCGAATAGCTAATAATATCAAAATGAAGATTCAGCCCAGTCTCTAAAATATTGAAAACAAGAGACAAGAATACAAAGTCTATATAAATAGTAACAAAAATGGGGGTGATATTCCCCTTCACCAAAAAAAAAAAAAAAAAAAAAAGGCAACTGAAATTGTTAAGTAGATTTCTGCTTCCCAAGCAACCAGACATGCTACACAGTAATACCAACATGCAATACCTGAAATGTAGAATCGCAGTCTGACTGTTGCCCTTGAACATCAGCATTTAATTTACAATTTTCTGGTGCCTGGCTGATTTCATCTTGCAAAGTAGGAGATATGCCATGAGTATCATCTACAGAAGCCCCGTCAGACAAGGCATCTAACTTTTCAGGGGAAGGAGCTATGTGAAGCTTACTATCTCCTGTTCCTTCATCAAAATTTGTCCTCTCATCAGCATCTTCTAGCTGTTGCACTGAAGTTAAATACTGCTCAAGCAGACTATTATCCTGCTCATTGTTTAAGCTTTCCTTATTCCATTCACCGTGCTCATCGCTGACATCCCCTACATCTGACTCTTTGCCATATCTGACTGTGTCAATGGAATTCCCCATTATGGAACTTTCACTGCCTTCTGTGGAACTTTTTTCAAAATCCAAAGAATCCTGCAAACAGTGAACGTGGTCTGTTAGGGAAGAATGAAAACCTGAGTCTGGAAATTCTGGTAAGGATTTCTCTTGAGGAGCCTCATCAGGAGCAATGAGCCAATCAGAATTTTGATCAGAAGAGGGCTCCTGACTTTGGGTGAATAATGGAGGTTTAGAGGGTACTAGAGTACTTGATATAGGAGGAACATCAGTATGCCAGGAACTTAGATGCTGATCCACCATCTGTTGCCAAGATTGCAGAGACCTTACCTGTAAACCAAAGGGTATAGTTTTATTATAAAATAAAAATCTTGCCTGTTTTACAATGTTCTTTGAGCTTTTTCCCCAACACTCATGAAGTTGGTAAATGGCAGATGGCAGAACTGGAGTTAGAAACAGCCTGACTCCCCTTACCCCTTCCATAGCACTCCCAGCCTAAACCAGGCTGGCACGAGTGGTGCATGTCCTTGGTAACAAAAGGTCCTCACCAGGAGAGTCAGGATGGGCCAAAGCAACTCTTCTTGCTGCTACTGGAAAAACTATCAGAAGCACAACAGCCCGTGACTACAGGGTCAATAATGTACTCAACAGAAACAAATCTATTGAATAAGACAGGTTAGAGCCCATTATAAGTAGATTCTCTAAAAATCTCACCGCAGATATCCATTTAGGATAGAGTTTTTAAATGTTACCTAACAATACAGCACATACAACTCTAAAATATCCAAAAATATCCTGAGTTCTTGATAATATGACCTTTACATTTTTAACGTACAATCAAAATCTCAAAATTAAACAATTAAATCTGCAAGAAGAAAGCAATATATAGAATTTTTTAGTTTCTCTTTGATCACCCTCCCAGGTAATCACTGATAGCAGTTGGACAGTGTCCTTCCAGACCTTTTACTCTGTTTTCAAATATATATGGAGTTTTTAAAATCAAGCAGAACCTTAAGTTCTGAAACTTAATGTTTTTCACTGAACAATGTTATTCTGGAGAACTTTCCACATCAGTCTATACTGTTACCTTATTCGTTTTAACTCTTCCATAATGTTCCATGGTATTGTTATTCTATAATTTATTTAACCACTCCCCTAGTATTAGTAATTATAAAACCTTAGAAATCAATAACTATTTCTTAATTTTGTAGGTAAAATCCTATTATAGCAAAAACATTCCAAGAAATTATCATCATGAAATACCTGATGAGATAAAATAACAGTAAACCTGATTATCTGAACTGTCCCTGAAGTATGCTATTACAGGATCTAAACTCTCTCAAGAAGTCATGTGCACTTTTTAGGACATGCATATCATAGCCATCGTACATTATCTTAGTCACCTTTCATTCAAATATTCCCAAAAGGTAAAACAAGATAGATGGCTACAGAAAACTTTTAATTGAATATTTTCTACCTACTGGAAAGTTATGACAACATCCCTCAATTTAGTCACTTTCATTCATCTTTATGGTTCTTTACCCTTCTGGTCAAAATTATGAAAATATTTTTCTTTAGATTAAATAAAATGTAACAAAGTTCACTGTCCTAATTCAGAGTTAGTGGCAAAGAACATAGACCATCCTTAACCTTGAGAAAATGTGCTTAATATGCCTGACTACTCTATGATTATCTCAATAAATCTAGAATTTTTCTTGGTTCACACATTAGGTAAATCAGCAAGAATGGGTTTACCTGGTTCCAAAGGAATCTGACAGCCTCTTCTTGTACATATTTTTTAATACGTTCTTCATCTCTTTCTTTTCTTAATCTACAATAATTCAAAATTCATTACTGATACAAGGAAGGTGCTTTGACTGGTGCCTATTGTTACAATTAATAGACACATGTACTGTAAAGAGATTAATAGTCTAATAACCACCCTTTCCACTTTTAGAATATCTAAGCTGAAACTTTAGTTTTAAACTATGACTCAATGTAGAAGCCAAATGGATGTGACTGAAATTCAGATTATATTGGTTCTACAAAGTATTGCCAATGATGAAAAATAAAATAAAATATTAAATGGCTCTTTATCTGGCCTTTATTTCCCAGCTAAAACACCAAAGGTACAAGAGTTGCAGAAAGGAGTAGTTGCTCAAAGGCTACAAAACAGCAGAGGATTAGGATCACAGCTTGACATGCCATCTTCTAAGAGACTAGTAGGACTAATCCCATCAAACTTCAGTCCCTATATGCCCGGGTCCTTGACATATTCCTTGCCATCATCAAAGGACCTCCTCCCCATCCATCACTTCCCCTTATTAATTAGAGTATTCACCTGGGCTCACTGCTGCCCTCTCCATACTTATGCCTGTCACCAACCTAAGGCTCCCTTAATTGTCTGTTATCTTCCAGAATATCACCATTTTGTTCTACCTCTAACCCAATTCCCAGCTTTCTCTAGCCCCCCCATGTTCTTCTCCTGTGCCATCTGGGACTCCAGAATTGTAATTGGCAAATCCCTTATCTTCTCAACCTCTTTTGTGACATTTTCCTTGACCAAATCAGACCTACTGCTGATGGCATTGTCGCCCTCTCAAGGGCTATTTTGGGACACCTGGCTGGTTCAGTTGGTAAAGCATGTGATCTTGATCTCAGGGTCAGGAGTTCAAGCCCCATTAGGGCATGGGGCCTATTGAAAAAAAAAAAAGTGGAAGCTATTTTTTTTCATTCATACATCAGTGTCAGAAGATAGCTTCTACTGTCAACAAATGTTCTTTTGCCCTCCTCCTTGAAGAACTCCTGCCATCCTGCTAAATTTCTCCAAACTCTTTTTCAAGTACTAGCCTCCCAGAATCTGCCTGCAATCACAGAAATCTCAGCACCAGTCTCTCTCCACTTCATTCCTATCATCATTTCTGGAGACCTCAGCATTCACATGGATGCTCTAACAGGAATCCACCCTATGTCATTCGTTCTCATAGTCTCACTCTAGACCCAGTCATTTTGATTACACCATTTTCAAAAATGTTTTCAAGCACCCACACAAACCACTACCTCCTATCCTCCCAGTTCACTTGCTCTTGCATCCCCCCTGCAACAATCTAGACATCCAATCTTCATCCAGACCTCCAAACTAACGATCCCCGCCTCCTCCTGTCTCCCTTACCTTCTTTAAATTCCAAGATCTACCATTATAATCATCCCTTCCCAAATATCTTTGGCTCCTTTGCCCTTCCCTCTCTCCCCTACCATATTCGCCTGGAAAAAAACCATTTCTAGCGGAACCAAATTAACCATGCCCAAATCATAAGAGAACAGCTGAAAGTTGCTGATGAAACTCATACAACCTGACCTATTGTTTTGCATTTTAAGTTTTTCCTCATACAGTCTAATAATCCTCCATTTTCCTTTTAAGTTCACTTTTAAGATGAATACCTCACACCTCTCTTCTTAAACCTTCTATACCCTTACCCCCTCCTCATTTTCAAATGTTGACCATGTTTTCTTCTGTATCATTGAAAAAGGAGAAGCATTCATCAGACAGAACTTCTGATCCCTCCCCATCAAACCTACCACCTCACCTGCTTCTGCTCCTGCTCCTACCTCAGGCCACTCCCTCTCCTTGTGCACTGGATCCCTTCTTTCACTTTCTCAAGAACTTCAACCTTGCATCTCTCCTTTCTTTCCACTGCACCATCAGATTTTCCCTCTTTACTGAATCATTCTATCAACACATAAACATGCTCTATATCTCCCATCTTTAAAAAAGAATTTTCCTTAACTCCAGATTCTCCTCCAGCAACATACCACAAAAGGGGTCCCCCCAAAAGAACTGGCTACACTCACTCTTCACCTCTCATTCACTATTCAACCCATTCCAAACTGCCTGATTCCACTACCTACTGAAGCTGCTCTTAGGAAATTCACTGGGCAGGAAAGGGTTAACACAGCAGGCTTGGGGTGTTCAAACCCCATACATTCCAAAGAAAGGACTGGCTTTGACTGATGGGGACATAATCCTTGGACTATCCTGCTTGATAGGAGTATCTGTGTATACATGGGGCTCGGGGCCAAACCAGATAGTTTATGCTAACAAAGTGCTTTCAGGTGAATACCTGTTTTGTTCACCTGATACAGACACGGTATCAGTCTGACCTTGGGTAGGAGCTAAGGTCTAAGTAGTTAAGGTCAGTCATACAGGCACTCAATGCCTACAAGATTGACACCCAATAAAAACCCTGTAGTCAGGGCTTCAGTGAACTTTCCTGGTTGGCAATACTTCATATGTGTTGTCACACATTACTGCCAAGAGATTCAAGCCCTACCTATACAACTCCACTGGAAGAAGACAACTAGAAGTTTGTGCCTGCTCTCCTGGACTCTGCCCTATGCACCTTTTTTCTTTGCTGACTTTAGTCTGTATCCTTTCACTTGAATACACCATAATCATGAACAGAATAGCTTCCCTGAGTTTTGTGAGTCCATTTCGCAAATCATCAAATCTGAGAATAGTCCCAGGATCCCCCAGTATAGTCACCAATAACCTCCAGCTTCTAAATTAAACATATAATCCTGTCCTCCCGACATCACCTCTCTTCTCTCCTAAGACATTTCCTTATCGAAGTTGAGACACACACCCCATCTTCCTATCACACTGGCTGTCCCTTCCCAGGCTCTTTTACTGCCTCCTCCCCTTCCACTTGATAATATTAATAAATGTTGCTAGTTGCAATACTAATACTCAAAATAAATTTATGAACTCCTAATTTTCCTGGCTGGCAGTCAGTAAAACGTCAGCCACAGAAGTGAGGAATAATTCCTACCATGGCCCCAGAATTTTAGCCCCTTTTAAGTCCCCACTCCTTTCTTTAATTCTGTTACCTACTGGGTTCCATGTAGATTTTCTCATCTTCTCATTTCTATGCTTATTCAATTTTTCCACATTTTCTGTACCTTTTTATGTCTAAGTTTACAAACATCTATAAGACAAGCAATTATTCACCATTTACTGCTGTACTGCATCAATGTACCAATTGCCATGCTAGCAGTGGAAATGCATATGGCAGTTCCTGCCCTCAAGATGCTTTCAGTATGTTATAGGAGACAAAGAAACCGAGAGTGGCAACAGCGTATGAAGTGTCCTGACCATAACAGCAATGGTTCAGTGTTCTGAATCAACTCGAAGACTCTGACACTCCCAAATCAACAAAACAGCACCTAAACAAGGATTTTTTACCTACCTCCTTATTTCATCAGTTAAGCAAACAATGTGTTCCTGCATTCTGCGCAGCCGAATTTCATGACGCACATCTTTAGCTTGGGGGTTGTAGTTCCTGGCATAAAAGCCCCGCCAATAGGCCTGAAGTTTGGTGGCTGCTTCATTCAATTTCTGAAGGGCAACTTTATCTTGTCCCAGAGCAACAGATCTCTGGGTTAAAATCCCACAGGGAAGTTTCTCCGAAGCTGACTGAGACATGGTTTCTTCACTGTCTGGCTGTGTATGGAAGACACTGTGTCCAACTGACTCAGGAAAAGATGTAAGACTATGGGTGTCATCCTTCAAGACAGCACTAGTTACTGTTGGCTCCAGACAAGGTAATAGCCCATCTTTCTCATTTACCTCTGTACTGATGACACTTTCCTTCATTTGAACGGAATTCTCATTTGCAGTCCAAAAAGCCTTTTCATCTTCCTTATTAAAGTCCTGGTTTTCCAGCCCTTTCACAGATTCATCTGCAACACCATAATCTTCTAGGCCCAGGTTAATGCCTTGTAGCCTCAGCTCAACTGTAGGTGACACTGGAGAGAGTCCTGATGCAACTGGCATAAAAGTAGACTCTGAAGAGAGAAGACTACAGTTTAACTTGTCCTCATCTGTCTGTATGTCTTCCAAGTGCAGGTCATTTCGAGAATATCTTGTAGTGTGTACAGAGGCTGGAAAGTTACTCTTAATAGCATATAATTGATCACCATTACTGTTAATCCCAACCCAAGAATTGACTTGGATGACGGGTTCTAGAAGAATCAACAAAGTATCATTGAAACCACTAAATATTTAAAAAGGTTTTTAGTTGTATCTTTGTAATGAAATCTAACCCCTGAAATATAGTAAAATGCACTAAAATGCTTTGGTGATTTCCTCCAATATGCCTAAAACATCACACCAAAGACTTTTAAGAAAATAAATTCTTATATTAATCATTAGCGTAATCAAAGATCAGGTCAATACAAAAGGTAGCAACTCTGAATATATTTTAAAAATTAGAAATAAAGCACAGTGAAGGAAACAATCAACAAAATGGAAAGGCAACCTACGGAATAGGAGAAGATATTTGCAAATGACATATCCGATAAAGGGTTAGCATCCAAAATATTTAAAGAATTGATACAACTCAACACCCCAAAAATAAATAATCCAATCAAAAATTAGAAGACATGAACAGACATTTCTCCAAAGAAGATATACAAACAGCCAACAGACACATGAAAAGATACTCAACATCACTCATCATCAGGGAAATGCAAATCAAAACTACAATGAGATTATCACCTCACAACTGTCAGAATGGCTAAAATCAAAAACACAAGAAACAACAACTGATGGCAATGATGTAGAGAAAAAGGAACCTTTGTGCACTGTTGGTGGGAACATAAACTGGTGCAGCCATTGTGGAAAACAGGATGGAGGTTCCTCAAAAAGTTAAAAATAGAATTACCAGATGATCCAGTAATCGCACTACTGGGTATTTATCCCAAAAATACAAAAACACTAATTCAAAGGGATACATGCACCCCTCTGTTCACTGCAGCATTATTTACAATCGCCAAATTATGGAAGCAGCCCAGGTGTCCATCGATAGATAAATGGATAAAGAAGATGTGAGATATTTATACACACACACACACACACACACACACACGATGGATTAATATTCAGCCATTATAAGGAATGAAATCTTGCCATTTGCAACAACATGGATGGATCTAGAGAGTATACCGCTAAGTGAAATAAGTCATTCAGAGAAAGACAAGAACCATATACCACTCATATGTGGAATTTAAGAAACAAAACAGATGAGCAAAGGAAAAAAGAGAAAGAGACAAACCAAGAAACAGACTCTTAACTATAGAGAACAAACTGATGGTTACCAGAGGAGAGGTGGATGGAGGGATGGGTGAAATAGGTGATGAGATTAAGGAGGGCACTTATCAAGATAAGCACTGATTAATGTATGGAATTGTTTAATCACTATACTGTATATCCAAAACTAATATAACATTGTGTATTAACTATACCAGAATTAAAATAAAAAACTTTAAAAAATTACCAGTGACAAAAATAATAAATAAAAATTAACACTGGCTGGAAGCAATCTCATTCTTGATCTCCTAAACCACTTTTCTTTTGACTGTTGTGATTCAGTGACCCCTCACACTTGGCTTTCTATGATGTGTGCATTTGCCTCACCTCTGTATGATGTTTTAATCACTTTTGTATCTCCCTAGCTGCTCAATAAATATTTTAATGAATCAAAAAAAAAAAAAATTAACACTGGGCAACCCTCTTGGGTGCCTTCCCTCCTCGGGAGCTTTATACTATCACTTCACTATCACTCAATAAACCTTGCTTTGCTGCTCACCAAAAAAATAAATTAAAATTAAAATTAACACTTTAAAATATAGTAATTTTACATTTATGTCTGTATATATACATATATAAAATATAAGACCTAAATGTTCACTTAACAAACCAAAAATTATGAAAATATGTACTTTTTCCTCCTTTATGGTACCCAACAGATGGAACAACTTGGAGAAAACGGATCAGAGATCAATTAATTTCATACCGCTTTCCTGGACTATCTGGCCATCTTGAACAGGGCTTGAATGCTCAGGTACAAGGGGTGCTCTTGTTTCAGTAGGAGCAAGAGGAGCTAGCTCTTCACTTTGGCTTTGGTTCATCAACTGTCTCTGATGAAACCTAAAAATCAATAACATCTGATGGGATTTAACACAAACCACAAAAAGAAAGTTTTCTGCTTCTTACATAATACTGTCAAAAAGGTAGAAATTTACAAGTTTTCAAAGTAGAGCTCTTTCATCACTACCAAATTACAAAGTCAAGTTTGAAAGCACTGGATTGAAAGGTTAAGAAACTTATTTTTAAGGGGTGCCTGGGTGGCTCAGTCGTTAAGCATCTGCCTTCGGCTCAGGTCATGATCCCGGGGTCCCGGGATCGAGCCCCGGATCGGGCTCCCTGCTCAGCGGAGAGCGTGCTTCTCCCACTCCCCCTGCTTGTGTTCCCTCTCTCTCTCTCTCTCTGTCAAATAAATAAATAAAATCTTTAAATAAAAGAAACTTATTTTTAGGGCACCTGGGTGGCTCAGTTGGTTAAGCAACTGCCTTCGGCTCAGGTCATGATCCTGGAGTCCCGGGCTTGAGTCCCGCATCAGGCTCCCTGCTCAGCAGGGAGTCTGCTTCTCCCTCTGACCCTCCTCCCTCTCATGCTCTCTGTCTCTCATTCTCTCTCTCGCAAATAAATAAAATCTTAAAAAAAAAAAAACAAAAACTTATTTTTAAATCACAATCCCACAGACACCCTTACAGGCACACACATGCACAAACACTCAAAGGCAGGCTCTCTGATAAAAGAAGTGACTAGTACATCCTTCTAGCTTCATTCTTTAATGTTAGTATTAAAGAACCCATATGAAACACCTACATTAAAAGTATAAATTTTTTTTTTTTTTTAAATCCCGGTCCCCCATACTGCTCGGCTCTCCCCACTCAGGAAATGATGAACAATGCAGCTGCTGTAGAGCAAGCTTGACAGTACTGCATGGTTTAGTTCCCCTGCAGGACTGCTGCAGTAACAAGGGGCCCAAGTGCCCAGAAACATGGGTCACAGCACTTGCCCCAGTCCTACGACCCATGCAGGAAAGACCCAGAGGTATTTCCACTTGTGAATTATCAGCTGCTACAAATAAAGGGGCTTACCTCTGTTTGCTCAGAATCTTCTCTAGTTTGGCATCCTCTGCAGTCTGAAGACCCAGTGTGGAAGTGAGAGGACAGACTGTAGCCAGATACTGCACAAGCTGGATATGCTGGCCTGGCCGATATGCTCTCCCCTTGCCTTGACTATAGAGCCATTCAGCTTTCAAACTGGAATTAGGGAACATACAGTAGAGGATATGACACCAGCACAGACAAGATACATTTTGAAGCAACAATGATCTTCCTTAATTTACAGCATCACTGGATGATTTTCATAAATAAAATTCAGTTATAAGTTTTTTTTTTTTAATCTTTCCTTCTGGGGGCACCTGGGTGGTTCAGTCATTAAGTGTCTGCCTTCGACTCAGGTTATGATCTCAGGGTCCTGGGATCGAGCCCCACATCGGGCTCCCTGCTCGGCGGGAAGCCTGCTTCTCCCTCTCCCACTCCCCCTGCTTGTGTTCCCTCTCTTGCTGTGTCTCTCTCTCTCAAATAAATAAATAAAACCTTTAAAAAAAAATAAAAACTTCAGTAGAGGGGCGCCTGGGTGGCTCAGTCAGTTAAGCGTCTGCCTTTGGTTCAGATCATGATCCCAGGGTCCTGGGATCGAGCCCCACATCGGGCTCCCTGCTAGGCGGGAAGCATGCTTCTCCCTCTCCCACTCCCCCTGCTTGTGTTCCCTCTATCACTGTGTCTCAGTCAAATAAATAAATAAAATCTTTAAAAAAAAAAATCTTTCCTTCTGATTCACTCCCTTTACTCTTCTAATGTTTTAAACCTTTGTTTTTGCTTAGGGGTACTTCCACAGAGTTACACTCATCGTTCCAAATATCTTTAAATTATTTTCAAAGAAGCAATAAGTATTTCCTCTATTCACTATCAAAATAAAGTACCTAAATACATCAGTTACATTTAAATCCATTAATTCATAATGACAGTTAAAAAAAAGCTAATTGGTCACAGCTGGAGGATGCTAGTGAACCACCAACTCATTATTTTTAAAAACTGATAAATAAAGGGCAAGAATTCAATATTATTAATTCTGTCTTTCCTATATAAACTAAACATGAGGGGCCAAATAGTTACTTTATAGAAGTATTCCAGCTAATAAAATGAATGAATTAAAATCTCACCATTTTGAAGCTCTTAGTGAATGAATTAATGGTTTTAGGCATTGATCATTAATAGCTACTAATAACATGAAGGACAACCAAACACTATGTGTCTCCTTGTGTGTGTGTGCTTGACAGAACCCAAAAAGCAGTCCACTCCACTAAAAAGCCTAAGTCTGATGAAACCTCTACATCCTCTTACCAATATACAGGAAATATAAGAAAGAAAGCCTAAATCTGATGAAACCTCCACATCCTCCTACCAATTTACAGGAAATATAAGATAGGACACAG